TATTATTAATTAATTTCATACGATTTATATGTAAATGTGTTTACTTACTAAGTTCTTCTTTTAAACTGTTGAATATCTACAATATGAAATATCTACAATGAAAAATTCAAGTTCTCATTCTGACGTCAGTTATTTTTCTACAATGCAAATCAATAAAAAAAAAAAAAGAAAACCTTGTCCGCTTCTTGTCGTTCTATTTTAATTTTGATTTTGAATTAACTCTGATGAATTATGCATGATCTACTCTTGCACGCAGTATTAATAACCTTTTAATTCAATATATATATGAAACACATAAAAACAATATTGTTCTTGACACTTTTGAAAAAATAAATTATACGCTGTAATTTGAAGTATATATTGAGAATTATGTGACAAGGAAGAAGAAACTGAACTCGAGAACCAGCTTGTAAACTCTCACTCTCTTTCAAACTTCCACTTTCTTTCGAGACAACACTCTTCTATAGTGACTCAAATATATATACATACATACATATATATATATATTTATAGAATTCGTTCTTTGTCTTTCTTCTCCTCTCTTAATATCTCATCTATATTTTTGATGTCGTTATTTTTAAAACAAATATTAATATTATTAACAAATTCACATGTTGTTTAACCTTGTTAAATAAAACCAACACTGAACACTTTGCACACAATTGATATCAATTACAATCCAAAAATTCACTGTTATCTAACAATTATCACATTTTCTAAATTTAATTATTTATTTACTATATATATATATATAATAATTATTAATTATATTATATTTAATATAATTAATATTTATTAATAATAAATTTGAAATTCTTATTTCTAAATAAAATATAAATAACATATATTTGCACACACATACAGACACACACACTAAATATATATATATATATATATGTATGTGCAAATATATAAGTTAATTAAATCAATTAAAAAAAAAAAATAAATAAATAAATAATAAAATTTTAAAATATTACGTCAAATTAGTGAATGATAAAAAATCATTCAAATTTATGTTAATTTGGTTTAGGTTTAATATGAATTTGTTCAGACTGATGAGATTTCGTCACACCTTGTAAAAAAAACTTTTGGATATTTTGTCAAATATGATAATTATATTATGTATATATGAAAAAAAAAAAAAAAAAAAACAAGAGATAAAAAGAAAATAATTGTCACACATTAAAATATGTGAAAAGTAACAGAGAGTAAGACCGGCGTTACCGTGATCTACCGAAGTCACGGAATGACTGTGAATGATTTGAAACCACTGGTACGAACCTAACGAGTTGTTAGTGAAAGTTGGACACTCGCCCGCACGAGTATACCTGTTATTCGATCGTTTGCCTCCTGTTGCAGTTCTCTTACTTACTCTTACCATTTTAAATTATAACCTTTTTGTTTTATATACAAATATATATATATGTATATATATACATTATGAGAATAGTTTTGTTTACAGGATCTTTCAATAAACTGTTTTATTTACAGGATTTTTCTATGAACAGTTTTATTTACAGGATGTTTCAATGAAAGGTTACAATTTTGATTTTATATTGAAATCTAATTATATAACTAATGAACCGTTAGTATGATTTTAGTTATACAGTATTTTTATTTTAAGCTATATAATCTTTTTATATTATTATGTATTATGAACAATTTTATTTACAGGATGTTTTAATCAACAGTTTCATTTACAGGATCTTTCAATGAAAGGTTACAATTTTGATTTTATATTGAAATCTAATTATATAACTAATGAACCATTAAAATGGTTTTAATTATACTGTATTTCATTGTAAACTATAGTCTTTTTATATAAGTCTGTATTATAAATATTTTTATTTACATCATGTTTTAATGAGAAGTTGCAATTTTGATTTTATATTGAAATCTAATTATGTAACTAATGAATCATTAGTACGGTTTTAATTATACAGTATTTTTATTTTAAATTATAGTCTTTTTTGTTATATAAATATGTATTATGAATAGTTTTATTTATACAGCATGTTTCAATGAAAAGTTTCAATTTTGATTATATATTGAAATCTAATGATG